AAAGGTCAGCTTTGGGATCAGTTACGTGGCCATGGCTTGTGAGCTCTAGAAGTAGGAATGGAGAGTTGGCATGCTGGGCAGCGACACAAGTATTATGCCAGTGGACTGAAGATACCTAGACACCTCTGGAGCCTTACCCTAATAGACTCCTATGTTTTGTTAAGAATCCAAAGTGGGATGGGCATGGTCGGCCATGACAACTGTAATGGGAAAGAAGATAGACACCACTGGATTGAGTGCCCCCGCTATGCTAGAGGGCATCTGGCTAATAAAGACTTGTATAAGGATTCGGCAGTCACAAGGTGGAAATGTTAGTGGGCGTGTTATTGGTAGTTGGGCCTGGGAATCCCTCGCCACATTGGGATGGTGGAACAGGAGTTAGTAGTGACAGGTAACCCCTTTAATGGCACGTTGATGGTAGAAAGAGACAGCGAGATGGTATTAATAGGAGACCCTACAATGTGCACCCATTGCGAGAAGAGACATGATGGTAGTAGCTATGTCTTGCCAGGCGAGGTGACATTGCCAAGGAAGTGGTTCTTTTTACCTGATCAATGATGGTGTGAGTGACCCTGTTGTGGTACTACCATTTCGGCTGTGGCTACTAGGAGGCGGGCCACCTTCGCTGAGCACTTCAAGAAACAGCCATGGTATCTACAAATATGTCATGATCAATTTTGGCATTCTCAGCACCAGCAGTGAGACAAGCTGAGCTTGGCGATATAGACATCAGTTGTTTTGAGGTGGGCTAAGGTGAACGGATTGCTGAAGGAACCCTGCTGCCCCTTTTGTGGTTTGGTGTTGACGGGGGGTTATTTGGATCTTGGGTTGCACTATAAGCGAATGGAGGGGTATTGGAATAGACTGTATGTTTCCTTAGTTGAGTTTGTAGAACAAATTGTGTTAGAAGTGGATAGGGGTGAGGGTATAAGACGGTGGCTGGGTAGCAGGGTGGGAAGACGTGTTAATCTGGGGCAGCACTAGTCACCACGAGTACCTGTGAGCCCACAATGTAGTAATTTTTGGATTTATATTTAGAAGAAGCAGTTGCGGGGCGAAATGGTCTGCAGTAGTGTATTTTAAATAGTTTGTTTTTACGGAGTGTGGGGGAGACTAGTCATATACTAGTATTAGCGGTACTAGTATAAATAAAATTAGATTGAATTCTAAGTACTTTTCCTACTTATTACTATAATAAATATAAAACAACTTTACACTCTTTATCATTATCATAACCTTTATTATTGTTACACTAAGAGAACTCTTCACAAAGAAGAGTTAGAGAAAGCTTATGATAGGCATTCCCAATAGAAGACAGAGATCTTGTACTATCGGTAACGTAGGCATAGGCCTAGAGCTATCGTAAGATTAGGAAAAAGAAGAGAAGTATCATTCCCTGTCACCAAGAACTAACCATCGAATGGGGGATTATTATAATATACTCAATCTCTAAACTTATTGTTGGTAATAAGCTGTATCTGATGCATCCAGATGAACACTGTCTCAGTCCTGACGCTGTACTTCCTAGTCTGTACACTCAGAATAGCAGTTTACATTTAGCTCATTCCATATGTCTAATACACCAGATGTACCGGATGTGAAGTATTATTTTTGCTGATATTGCTATTGAACAGCTATTTCTGAGGAGCGATAGAGCAGTAATCCTTACCAGTAGTTATTATTTCCTCACTATTGTCTATGCTTATACTAATTACTTCTAGGATTATTGTTTAAAAAGATAATTCAGGCTTCCTAGTTGGCAATAGGTAAATATTACCTTCCCTCATGAGAAGTCAGTAGAGAATAGAGCTGTATTTATTATGAATTTAGTGTGGTGGAAGAAGGAGGAAAAATGGCCTAATGGTGGTGTGGGAACAATAATCAAGCAAGACATATTGGTAATATGCTAGGAAATGATTAGCTAGAATTAGAAGAGACCATATTATGTGTAGTTGACAAAGACTAAAGAAGAAAAGAAGCAGACAAAGAAAGATATCGTAGAATAGAATATAAAATCAGGAAAGGAGAAAGAGAAGCATAATAGGAACTAGAGAATAACAGAAGAGTTTTGACTCTTAAAGTAGAGGGAATTACAGGTTGCAAGAAAGCTAAGAATAGGGGCCTAGAACCAGCTAGGTGTAATGAGACTATACAGAGTACTATTACAGTTAGTTAAACCTATACCTATACAGGTGTTGGAGGCTACTACAATAGGAATAATAGTAGACAAGAGTTTATCAAGTAGAGATATTATTGGTTAGATACATTAGTCAGACAAGCTATACTACATTAGAGGTACTTAGGTACTAATAAGGGATGGAAATTACCCTACTAGATAGGGTAATTCAATCAGTTAATTTAGGTATTATACTGAGTTGTTTGACATTAAGTCTGGATAGAGTTACCCTACTCTATAGAGTAACTCAGAGAATTGTTACCCTACCTTCAGACTAGATTTACCCTCTCTTAGGCCATAAGTTACCCTGCTATGAGGGTCAGTTACCCTACCTTAAAAGTAACTTATTATGCAGGACTTTAAAGAAAGTTATTAGATTGTTTATCATATAAAACTACAGCCACTTGGCAGAAGTGTTCATGAAATGTGTCTCAGGTGACTAAGTTACCTCTGGTCTCACCAAAATGCCAACTTGCAATGAGGATAATCCTGATCATGATCTTTTAACCTATTATGACCAACTATTTATACAATTTCTACCAACCAAAGTCTTATTTTCACAATTAATTAATGCTCTCAATCTTTTTTACCAATGGTTAACCAATCTGGAAATTCCAAGCATGCTGTAAAAAAAAGACTTCCACCTAAAACTTCCCAGAGAGAAATGAGCCTTGCTGAAAAGGGAATGATATTTGCCTTTTTCTACTGCCTCCGGAATATTACTTTGATGGCTCAAATTATTGGATGGCCTTGGAAAACAGTTAAGAGCTTTCTTGTCCAGGTATATGAGTACCAATTTGTTGAAAATCTTCCTCACCCTTATTGCATACCAATTTTGAGTAATCAGCAGCATTGCACAATCATTAAGGCTACCAAATCCAATAGGAAAATAATAAGATCTGCTTTCTGTAATAAATATACACCTGGTATTTCTCTTGATACAAGTAAGTCTTTACTACTCTAAGAAATATGATATGATTTTCTAATATGTTTGCCTGTAGCGGACTGGGTACTCAGAGTGGCAAATATTAAAAAATGGCTAGCCAAGTCAAGACCCAAGCTGAAGCCTGATCATATTGCTAAAAGATTGAAGTAGGCTACAGTTCATAAGAACTAGACAGTTGAGAATTTTGAGAAAGTGATTTGTAGTAATAAGTATAGTATAGAGAAATTCAATAATAAGTATTTAGAGAACCTGCTGAGAAATGGTTGGCAGATTGTATACATCCAAAGGAGAAGGATAAAGGATTATCGCTCATGGTTTGGAAGTGCTTTTAGGGTAAGAAACAATGTTTTTTTAGTTTCAATTACTCAAACCTCAATAAAAACAGGTATATTAAACTCTTGAGAAGGTATCTTTTTCCTGTTATTCATCAAATGATTTCTTTTGGTATGCAAGATATCCTGTTTCAGCAAGACAATGCTCCTGTTTACATGGTTTATAGTGTAATGGATTGGCTGGAGAGAAACTATATTAAAGTTGTGGAACAGCTCCCTTATTCCCCTGATTTGAATCCTATTGAGCATATATGGGTTAAGCTTAAAAAGCAATTGTACCAGCAGTATACAAGGATTGGAGATTCCCCAGGAGGAAAAGAGGCTGTCAGGAGAAGGCTTGCACAAGTATTACCATTAGTTTGGAAGACAATCCCTGAGGAGTTCTTTGAGAGGTTGTAGAAATCAATGCCTGATAGAGTAGCTGCGATATTAGAAGCAAGAGGAGGTTATAAGGTATTAGCTATTTCATTATTTAATTTATACTACTAGAACTTTAATATTCTCATGAGTTGATCGTCCACCACCAGTGTTGATCGTTGGTACTGAACATTGATCATTTATGTCCATTGACAACCTCAAGGTTGCCCCACCACACGGCCTGAGACCTACTATGGCGCAACTGCAATTTTACTTTGTCTCAGATTACCAACACTTCTGTCGAGTGGCTGTAGATAATACTTCTTCAGAGTCAGATGGACGGAGTTACAATAGTTCTGGTGGGGAGGAGAAGAGATTGCGGGGAAACGCTCACAAGCGTAAGAGGAGGAAAGGGGAGGCCCAAGCTTAATAATATTCTTTGAAGGGGTTTTTATTTCTTTGACAGTATGTTTGGTGATTGGATAGATGTTTAGTATAGCCACAGAGAGCCCTTAGTCTTAGTATTCATCAGATGTAGAGAATACAAGCTAAAAGTTTTACAAAAATGATAATAATAGTGGAACGGAGAAGGATTCCCGTACCGAAAGTACACTACGGTACAGTATACTGTGGCGATCTTCCGGGTGTGTCTGCCTTAGCAGCCGGCCGGTAGGACACCGGTAGGATAAGGCTAATGCGGAGGAGGGCCTGATAATATTCCTGAGGATGGCGGAACATGCCGTACTGAGAGGGACTGGGGTTGGGGCCCTGAGGCCCACGCTTTGAGGATTGAAGTAGACAAGGCTGGGCGGTGAGTCGCAGGGTTCAAAGAGAGAGGAGAGCAGTGGATAGTCTTACTGGTATTGTACGAGTAGTACCACCTCACAGTAGTTGGAGGAGCACGATACAGTATCGCAATTTGAGATATTATAGTATATGTATTGTGCAGAGCTCTGCGAGTGTTTTGCAGCTAGCGGGCCGTGTTTCCTTCGGGGAAAGTTCGCGTGCGCTTGGCACCTGGCACCTCCATCACCATGATGCGGTGTCATGTGACCATGATTGCCTGGCATTGCTTGAGAATCCCAGCAGAGTGGTTAGGTTGCCGTTGGAGGTTTTTTCTGTCCCGGGATAACTAGGTGATGAGTTGAGCTCGTTTCTTCCCCCCTTTCCTCTTCCACTCACCCATCCACCCATCCACCACCTCCCTTACTGGATCAAACATCTCTCCAATCCCCTCCCTCACCGCTCCGATATAACTGCTGCAAACGAGGAAAAGGGAAATAAACAAACAGAGGGGTAAATCGTTTCATTGACTTTTGCCTGCCTTCCCCCTCAACTCGCTTCGAAAATGAATGCTTTTCGCCCACCGTCGCGTCGGATCACCTCTCCGGCCCCTTCCTCCTCCGCTTGGACATTGTCCTCCAATCGTTCTACCCTAAGCTCGTTTCTCGACGAGGAATATGGCTACTACGAATCGATGGGTGGAATAACTAGCGGTTATTCTGAACTATCCATGTCCTCACAACTATCGTCATCGTCCATAGAAGTCCATTCCTATTCTGGTCCGTCCATCTCGCCGCTCTACGCTTCCACAAAATCCTCAGCCGGCGGGTTGCGCGGGCCAGGTTCAACGACCGCTGGTGTGAAAGGGAACGAACAGACCGGAATCCCGTCAGATATTCTCCCGCGTTTGCAAGTCCTTCTCAAGAACCAAGTTCTGGTGTTTCTGGAGGGGGTCGAATATGACGACCTGCCTCTCGGAGCGATGCTTCATAAACACTCGTACAAACTCGCCGCCCGTAATGATGAGATACTAGAGGAGGTTCGCCAGGAAGGTCGCGCAGTGACCAGCGAGAAAGCTCACCTCCGATATTTCAAAGGACTTTATCGGGTCATACGGAGGTCACAGTTCTCAGGTGTTGGAGGAAAGCTTTGGGGATTGTGGAAACTCGAGACTGTTATCGCCGAAGCCTACAGAAGGTCCGGTATTGATCCGGCTATCTATGGTTACCCGAGATTGAGGAGTAGTGGAGGCCATGACGACGATATGGATGACGGCGAAGCTGACTTGGGTAGTGATGAGGATGGGGATGACGATCTAGATTTTTTTGACATTCAAGACGAAACAGATGACACCGATGATCCTTTTGATTCAGATGATACGGATGATACGGACGACATGGACCACGAAGAAGGCCACCCAATGATAAATGCGGGCGGCATAGGTAAAGGACCAGTATACGGTCCTCAATTTGAACGGCTCTCAGAGCGAAGCTTGACGTTACTTCTCGACCTATTGAGAGAGTTCGCTCTTAATCGCTACCTTCTTGCCGCCTATAAATCTATACTCGAGCATGAGCTTTCGCGGCCCGATGAGATTTCTGAATTATTTGCACCGAAAAAACTTGTTAATTCTCCCGCTGCCGTTCGTGCGGTACGGGTGAAAGAGGCATGTATCATCTCTTATATGCAGTCTTTGACTTTCCTTTACAAATTACAACTGCTGGTTGAGTACGAACGAAAGGATCCCGAAGGGTACTGGGACAAGGACTTCGAACACCCCGATCATGAAGATGAGCCCTTGTCCCTACTCTGGTCGAAAAGTATGATGACCATGGTGATGACCCATTTCCATCGGGAAGAGTCTGATAGTGAGAGGTACCGGCATCGGCATGGTTTGTACCATGGTCATTACCAGGAGGATTGGTCATACAAACTTATGTATATGACCAACTACTTGCATTTTGCCGAGGCTACAGTTCACGATTGGTTTGCTGACCCCGACGCACAAGAATGGGAGGAGCATGAGAAGCAAGTGAAGGCAGACGATAGATGTCGTTGGTTTTCTGAGTTTGGGGGGCGGCTGTATTTAATGCCTTCTACTAAGATGTACGGCAGTCGTGCTGCGATAGTAGAATGGATGGAGGGTTTTGAGGAGGAGCAGGTCCTAGATACTTCTGTTAGCGAGCTTGAAGCAAAAGCCCTGGCGGGCGAATACTTCAGGTTTGTTGATATGAGACCTGAGTGGGAAGATGCGGCTACAACCCTAATAAAGCGCTATGGCGGGTTCGTTTGCAGCCCCTTTTTTTGGTCTCGCAATACAACTAACCTTGATAGGGCTATCGACATCGGCCAGGGAGATGACGATAAGCCTGTTACTACGATCCTACGTCCGGGACAAGAGGATCCGGTTAAGTGCGATAGGAGCGTAGACTACAATCATATCATGGACTATATCCACCGCAAGATAGTCCAAACTAGGTTTTCCCATGTAGATAAGAAAGCGTTGAAGAACGTGGTTTTCTCTTTTCGAGGGATCTTACCGACCCTCACTCGTGGGGATATGAGGGAACTGGTTCACATCTATGGCGGGTGAGTGCTGCTGCGAATATTATTACGAACCTGGTGTTAACCGTGTTTATAGGTTCGTCGAGGAAAATCTCACCTCTCGAATTGATTACACGGTTGTCGGATCCAGGAATCCATTAGACAACCCGCAGGTCTGGAGCCGGGAGATGAAAATAATCGAACAACTAGGAATCCGCAAAATCGACGAAGACGGCTTTGCCGAGCTTCTGCTGAAGAGCCAGTCCTGGCTTAGGAACGGCAAGAGGAAGGCAGCCAACGGGTCAGCGGTTGGGGAGGTTTTCAAGCCCACTTCTAAAAGAAGAAGATTGGCGACATCTCTATCATTACCATCACCGGATCCCGCTTTCTAGATACGTTTGGTCTTTATAGGCATCTCTCCCACCCTCCCTTTTTTTATCGTCATTTTGCCTCTCCTTCCCCACCTGTTGGATGTAGACCGGTTCGGAGTTATTTGCTATTTTATTGCATTTGAGGGCTTATGGATTTCTTTCTTTATTCCTTCCTTGTACTGGTTTCTTAGGGCTTTGGAGGGTCTGGGTAACGATTTACGGGTCAATGTATTATCTTCAGTGGATCGGAATGAAAATTGCTTCTATTCGTTGCTGGTTAGCTTTTACACTTTTACGCATGCTATATTGTACTGTAGGCGGGGAAATTAATACAGGAGGAGGCTTTTTGCTTAGGCCTATTCTTGTAGGCCGCTTTCCACAAGAATTTTCCAATGACCTATGGGAGTTAACCCGCCTACCTCAGATCCTCTGTAGTACGATACAAGCTGGTTGTACGGCACGAGCGAAGAGTCATCGGACTGTCGGTGGGTGACGGCGACATGCGCCATCACTCGTAGGTTGAGATGTAGCCCCTGTTGTTTGTACATATGAATATGATATTTCTTTATATTCTCAAAGGCTTCATTCAGAATGCTTATTCCTTTTAACAGACAGCCCTGGCTGTTTATTCTTGTTTATTTTGTATGCTTATTGGTTAATCTCTGTTTCCTGCTCCCTTGTCAAGGGGTGACATGCCCAAACAAACTTTCCATATAGCTATGCTATACAGTATATCCCTTCTTATATTTCCGATAACCCAATCACTACTGGAGGATCTACTATCATACGAATCTACTAGGGTATTTTTATTATCATAATTATTACCCTTTTATTGCGCATTCGCTACAGTTCCCTCTGTTGTGCCGCCGAATCATACCAAGGATTTGGTTGGTTGGTTGGTTGGTTGGTTGATTAGGGGGGTCTTTTTCTCAGACCAACAAAAACTCAACGGGTGTGTTGGTGAAAATATGAAAAGAAGAGTTAAGTGAAGTGAAGTGAAGCGATGGGTCGCTCCGAGAGAGACCATGACATGAAAATGGGTCTTTCGGATCGGATGGATTTTCATCATTCGTACTCATTCGCTCAATAGGGAACTGGAGTTGTGGTAGATGGGGTTTTTTCTTCTCTTTTCTTGGAGAGAGAGATCATTGCACGCAAGTGTTTTATGTGGATTGCGTGCGCACTGCTCGTGTGCACATTCGTCGACACAGTTGCTTCTCCTAGGAGGCCCTGTGTTATATGCATAGACCTTTCCCCCTTTACTCTCTCTTCTACTCCTCTCCTTCTCCACTTGCGTTGACCGACACTACTTTTTCCCTTCCTCCGAGCCTGCGGAATCGATAATGGCGGTAATAATTTGCGGTGAGGAGGTATTTTAACTTGGATGTAACAATGAATCATATCTAAACCCGGTCCTTAAATAATGGCCCTCTGTTGCAGTTCTCCTAACAAATCGCTAACCAGAAAGAAAAAAATAAAAATATGAAAAAACCTCCCCTAAGAGAATGAAGAATCCGGATCCAACGTCACCCATTCCTAGCTGAAGAGGTACCTCACAGAAACGAAAACCGCCACGGCAATCCCCAAATACCCCAATATATCCCATACAACCGAACAATCTAGCTCTGCCCCCGAATCGTGGTGATCCACTGTCCTCGTATATCGAGATTGTCGTGGTGCATTCCTTTCGAGATCTTGACCAAAATCTTGCCATGGTGCTGTCGTACCGTAAGGACTGCTGTATGTTCTTTGTGGCGATAGCAGAGGGTGTTGTTGGGTTGGAACTGGTGAGCGGAGTGGTGGTGGGGGGCGAGCTGCGAGAGGTGGTTGGTGTCGAGTTGCGGGAGTTGCTTGGCGTGGTGGGGGAGGTATGTGGTGTTGAATTGCGGGAGTTGTTTGGCGTGGTGGGGCGGGTGGTTGTCTTTTCGCTGGGCTCGAACTGCTAGCGACAACCCTTCTCTCTTGGTGGACACTGAAGGTGGGACGCAACTCGCGCAATTTCTTCATCAACAACCCCAGCATATCATCTGGCAATGAGCAGGTCGATCCGTGGCGCGAATCCAGAAGGCGCACTTCGACCTCGAATGGCTCCAAATTGACATAGGATTGTTTGGTCAATAGCGGTGGCTCTCCTCTTGCGATAACTGATAATAGGATGCCATTATCGGGATGTGGGGCTGCCCCAGATACTTTGAGGGGCAGATATTTTCTTCGTAGTTGATCAGTCGGGTTCGGGAACCTGACGGAGAGGGTTGTGTTGCCAAAGGATGTTATCTGGGAGAATATTAAATCTTGGTTACATGGAGGAGTGAAGGGGAATTTGGGTTACCAGAAGGACTTGGACTTTCCCCTCCCTTTCAGCCCCGAGGACCAGAACTGGGTGATTGAGTTTTCCACCGTTGACACTTGTGCCCCGGGACTCCGAGGTATTCGGAAGCCAGTATACATGCCCTATGAGGGCGGCGGTTAACATCGCTGCTTGCCTGCTCCCACGTTATCCCACCAACGTGTGCATTGGTTTTTAAAGAGCATCGTAGCTTTGTTCCTGCGCGGGGGATAACTTCAACTTATAACACTACTGTGCAATCCATATTTCCCCTTTCTCACACACACCAGCAGGGGCACTCGTGCAGGTGCTTGTATCATAAAATGGAATACGGTACGGTAGGGAAGTCGTGTTGTCCATCCTTAGGCAACAGCTCAGAGGAAGCCATTCAGGTGCCATCGATAACAGGGATCAACTGGCATTGGTGCCAGAAGCGATTGGGGGAGGGGGGGAAGCATGCAAACCCATGGCCACAGAGTGGCTTGAGTGCAAATGCAGGTATTAAATCCAGTTGACTTCCCTTCTACCAATTAGGAAAATCGAAGTGAGGGGTAACACACTTCCTCTCCCTCCACTTTGATGGCACCACAGAATGCCGTCGCTTGCATCCGTACAAACTTTGACCTCGCCCACAGCAAGACACATCCACCGTTGAGGACATGTTTTCGCTGCACTCTTTAAACGGTTTCAGAATTGCGGGGGGGGAGGATCTTTTAGGAAATCGGTCTCGAGTGAGATTTATTTCTTGTTCGATTTTTGTTTGCGGAGGTAGGCTCCCGGTGCCGGTGTCCAGGAGGGATAAAAAATTATGATACTCGTAGTGGTCTCCTGTAGGAACGTGCTGAAATTCCTAATTAGGCACCAGGTCAAGAACACTTGTTAACTTGTTAACTCCCCCTATGGTCGGGCTAGGAATAGAACTGTAAAAGTAGGAGGAACACTTGGGACTATTTGCTGTACTTTTGGTTTAATTTAATTTTGCCGTTTTCCATGGTATTATTCGCTTGTTTCGGCGCTGTGAGTGATCTCTTAGTATGGGGAAGGTCTAGATTGCATCGGTGGCATTCTACTCGAGTAGGGTGCCGGTTCTAATATCTATTGGGTGAGCGTTTGGCTGAGAAGAAAATTTCCGGGCTGGAAACATACAAGGGCTCGTACAATGACAAATTCCAATGCCAGGCCACCGAGCAAATCGAGGAACAAGAAGTCTCGGTTCCACTCTTAGGTGTTCACCACTGCCACTCGAGTAGATTACCCTCACCATCAATAAAATTTCCCCAATTTCCCCCTCGTGCCCCCCTTCCCGCTCACCACTTTTTTCGGGAAAGCAAGAAAAAGGTTACGAGTACAGTACGGTATCGTGCTCGAGCTTCGAACTGCCTGCATCGTGTCAGATTAGGGAGATAATTGCTACTTCACAGTTTGCATGGTTCTTGCGGGAGTAACCGCATTGCCGTTACCGGTGGCAAGTATAATACAGTACCGGTACTCGAGTACCGGTATTGGTCGTTGTTGACCGCAATGGGTGGCACCAAAGGGTAGCAGGTAGGGTGGTGTGTTGTGTGCTTCTAGGATTGGCGCTTATCGCGGTTGAGAGTGGGAGCGAGCTCGGTTTGGTTGGTCTATTGATTGATCGTTCGGGGGGGCTGGGGCAGGGGGGGAGGTGAAGGAGGCGATGGCGACTTTTTACTGGTCAGCTTTTTTGGTGAGTTTTACTTTTCGTACTTTGTAACTGGCGGAAGGGTCGGTACGGCACGGCAACTCCTCATGCCGCAACGGGATCATAAGTGCTTCTGTCTGTCGTAAAATTTTTTTCCTTCTTTCCTTTTTTTTGTTGGTCTTACTTGTAGTGGGGGGGGGAGTGAAGGGTTCAAGGATAATGTGCCCATTCCTTGGTGTGAGGTCTGATTATTCTACGGTATTCAAGTGGTTTTGATGGTGCCGGTACCGTATTGCCTTCTGAGCGGTCGAAGAGACCTACGAGCCACACACCCGGCTTGTCTCACATCTCCTCAACACCCGACACCCTGCTTGAAGTGCGGGGGTTCGTAAGTACTCGCACGGTACTGCACCATATGGGAGTCTGCTCTCGAGTGCTGAATCTACCGTACCGTAGGCCAGTAGCGGCGTGTGAGTTGGAATCCTACGTTTTTGTGGGGTTGTAGAGGTTGCGATTGGGTAGATAGATTAAATGAGGTTTCAATCACGGGGACATAAGCACACACACACACGCATGCACATGCAGACAATGGAGGGGGGGGGGCTGTTATCGTATCGCACAAATCTGCATTCTGGTGATCTATCCGTCCATCCACATATTAGCATCTCAATCCCTTAGCAACGCCTTCACCTCCCCAATCTGCCTAAGAACAGACTCCCTAGCAGTACCGCCGACGGCACTCCTCATCTCAACGCTATGCTCAAAGTTAAAGACCTGCATGACGTCCTCGTCGAATTTGGGACTAAGCGTTCTGAGCTTGTCGAGGCCCAGCTTATCGATACCGGAGAGGCCTTCGTTCTCTGCCAGACTGACGGCAGCGCCAGAGATGTGGTGCGTTTCGCGGAAGGGCACGCCCTTGCGGACGAGGTAGTCTGCTAGATCTGTTGCCAGCATGTCCATTGTTAAGGCAGCGAGCATTTTCTCGCGGTTGATGGAGAGGGTCGATAACACGCCTGTCGCGATGCGGGTGGAGTCCAGGAGCGTGCGAGTGGTGTCAAAGAGCGGCTCTTTATCCTCTTGCAGGTCCTTGTTGTACGTGCTCGGCAGGGCTTTGAGCGTGTACATGAAGCCGACCATCTGGCCGAAGACCCTCCCGCTCTTGCCGCGCAGGAGTTCCAGCGAGTCCGGGTTCTTCTTCTGCGGCATAAGGCTGCTGCCGGTACTGTACGCATCAGCGAGTTTAACGAAGCCGAACTCCTGAGTAGAGTAAAGTATCAGGTCCTCCGCCCAGCGGGAAACATGGCTCATGAAGAGGCTGCCCCACATCATTGTCTCGGCAACGAAGTCGCGGTCCGCCACACCGACGAGGGAGTTTCCGATGACGCTGTCGAAGCCGAGCTCCGTCGCAAGGAAGGCACGGTCGACGGCGAAGGGGTTGCCGGCTAGCGCGCCGCTGCCGAGCGGGCAGCGGTTCACACGGATGCGGAGTTGACGAAGTCGGGTGAGATCATCAGTGAAGTAGTATGTGTGGCTCATGAGCCAGTGAGACCAACGGATCGGTTGCGCGCGCTGGAGGTGCGTGTATCCTGGCATGATTGCGTCTAAGTCTGCCTCTGCGCGGCCTAGGTGTGCCCTGAGCAGGTCTACTAGCGCGGATTCGATCTCGTCCAGCGTGTCCCGGAGCCAGATCCTTGTGTCCGTAGCTACCTGGTCGTTGCGGCTTCTACCAGTGTGTAGTTTCCCCGCTATACCCTTGCCGATCAATTCGCCGAGACGTCGCTCGTTGGCCGTGTGGATGTCCTCGTCAACGCCGGGGCTTATAGCGAATGTGTCGTTGGCCCATTCCGCGTGCACGAGATCTAGGCCCCGGTGGAGCTCGCTGAGCTCGTGCGCGGTAATTATGTTGCGTTGGTGGAGGGAAGTGGCGTACACTTTTGAGCCCAGAATGTCAGCTAAGTACATACGTTTGTCGTAGTGGATGGATTCGTTGTAGGTTGTCATTAGCGGGTCGGTTTTGCCTAGCGGTCGGTTCCTAATTAGCAATTGTTTAATGGGGAAGAGGGTGCGCGAAATGGGTGGAAGGTATACCAGTGAAGCGGCCGCCCCAGAGTTTAGTCGTCGCCATGGTGAAGAATTGACGTTCTGTTGTTATGGATTGGCTTTTTATTTTTCTTCTTCGTCGGGCTGGTGGAGGTGGTGGAGGAGGGGTGATGTTCCGGGGGCTTTTTGACCTGCCCCACCGCGGGGCTCCCCCAAACGCCAAGAAAACCCTTCCCTTGAAATACCGCAACCCGTATATCCATCCTGGGCGCCGTGCAATCACGGATGATCATTCGCATGTTCAAACCCTCAAACTCCCGGACCCGGTTCAAACGAAACAAACGGGCATAGAAAATTTTAATTCTCATATTGTGACCTCTCCCAAACCTCTTGTATATGATTGCAAACTACAGCGTATCATACTCCGAGCAACTTCCTAAGCCCCCTCTACCCCCCCGCCGTCCTTACCCTTATGATGCTGAGCCTCACGATTCTTACCCTCTGCCCGCCGCGCACTTTCTAGTTCACCCTGATCCCGCTCGAGAACTGTTTCTTCAGCGTGACCCTTATGATCAAAGTTTTCGGGCCTTCAGCAGTCGGATATGTTGACGTTGGGGAGGCGTGGGCTGATTTCTTGAGAGATACTTTTGACTGCGCAGGTGGTGAGCTTGGGGGTGTATGTGGGGCGGAGTGTGCTGGCAACTAGCGAAGATGGGGGGCTTGTGTTTGACATTTCTGGTTTTGTCTTGTCAGATCTGTAGAGGGTGTGCGAGTGCATGGTGGGGTTATGATAGAGACGAAGGGAGCGGAGGAGTGAGGGAGGGCAGTTGTCTGGCCAGTAGTGGTGGTGGTTGTGGGGTATATATGGCAGACTTGGAACCTGGGTGGGTCCCCTTGAAACGGTCTACTCGAGTATCATACCGTATGGGAGACTAGCTAATTTGAGATGAGGGCGGTGACGTCAAGGTGGGAAATTGAGTTAAAGTCGTTATCTATTGAGTTGTTATGGGGATTCATTTGGTTTTTGGAATTGGCATTTCGGGTACAGTACCGTAATGGGTCACTGATAATTTTCGAGTTCGGGTGAATGAGCTTTGGCGCTAACAAAAAGTCGTGATCATAAAACAAAGTTTGATTGATTGAAGAAACGCCACCAGATCATCCAGTTGGAAGACTCGGCGGATAAGGTACAAAAACACAATCATATCCTTGAAACCGAGCCCTCAAAGCCCAGCTAGTGAAAGTGTCAAAGAGACTCATGTCGAAGGAAAGCTGCCTGCCGTATCATAAGTTATGAAGAAATATAACAGCCCTGGGAGCGTTCAAGACTCGACTGGAACCGCCAATTAGATTCCCCAGTTTTTGAACTTCAGGGAAATGAAGGGAAAACAATGGAACATAGTCATGAGGAAAGACTTGAGAGGAAATTCTTTATGAAGGGGGAAATCAATATCAAAAGCCTCGTTGAACACGAATGAAAGCCCCCAGACTTGGTAATATGAAAGGAAAACCGCAACAACTTTGTGCCGTCATCAAGACAGACACCATATCGTCAGCAATTCATAAATTTATACTCTGCTTTTCACACCATTCCCCATCTCTGCCTTCCTCTCCCGCTTCAACCCCTTTCGCCTCTCTGGCTCGGCCTCCTCAGTGTCCGCCCTGTTCAATACAGGAATAGGGCTCCTGTTCGTAGTGTCAATGACACTGTCGTCATATGTCATGCCGCCGATGAGTCTCGCTTCCTTCCTCGCTTCGGCAACAGAACTGGTGGTCGTGCTGCTCGCGGGGCTATTTCTGCTCTGCATCAAGGGCTCCTTATCACTCGGTGCGCTGGTGTAACTTCCATGAGAAGGGTGCGGCGAGTAAGGTGTCAAGGGCGTTAATCTTCCTCCAGCATTACTGGCAGCAGAACCCGCACGGGGAGTTGGTAGCGTATCGAAGTACCCGCCTCCGGTACATGCCCCAAGCCGTGCGAGACGATCGGCAGCAAGGGAGTTCGCGTCGGTGCCTGGGCGGTTGCCTTCGTGGCCGTCTTTGATCGCTACTGTGGAGATACCAGACATGGGCGTTGACGGGCCCGACGAAGCTTCTGAGTAGGTGGAGGAAGGAGGATATTGGGGCGGGGAAGGTAGGCTCGTGAATGTCGTACTCATTTTGATTTGCTTGTTTCGGGACGGAAAGAGGAATGATTTTTCTTTCTAGTAAAAAGGACGAAATAGGCAACCAAAGTTAGTGGAGGAAGAAGGGAGAAACAGGGCTAGAGTACTGGAGATAAAGAAATGGGGCTCCAATGGTCTCGGGGTGAGAAGTGCAAGGCGAACAAAGACCCTGCCAAGAGGGTGCATCTACTCGTATTGTAGCGACTTTAACTAATATTCCATTCGGGTAGAGTGCAGGTAGATAATTGTCAATGGAAGCAGAGAGACCAGCGCCAAGACACTGACGTCATTCCTGGCCGAAAGCTAGGTTTGCGGGCCAAGAGTCTGATTCCAGTCCACATCCAGACTCACCCGAGAAAAATTCAGTAATGCCATCTCCACCTTTGGGCTGTAGGCCTCTTAAAGCAGTTTCTCGAGTTACCTACGAGTACTGGACGGCTAGTTCTCTGGGTGCTGAGAGGTGGTTGCTACAGTATCCTTTCTCGCTGGGAGCAGGCAGGAAGGCGATTTTTCCAAGTCTATCGCTCATTGGACGGATATCGAATGTGCTGCTGCAGGACTGGGATCCTGGTCATGCGGGGTGTGGTCTGCGATGGGGCGAGCGCTGAGCATGCAGATCGGTAGACTATTCGTTGTTCTGCTGGCCTATGGGAGTGGGCAGAATGCCTCGGACCCTCACTTAACGTCTCGAAGTGAACAGCGGCATGAGAAACAATTCTTGGGGGTTCGTGACCCTTGGGCCACCACGGCATTTAGCCATACTGGTACCGGTACTGTACGAGTACTGTACAGCAGTGTCTGGCGTTGATGATGGCGCAGGTATTCCTGGGACCGCCCAAGTGGTTTCCGCGTGGAGCACTTGTAACATAAGATACCCGGGCGACTGAGTTGAAGCTGGAAGTCCAAGGGGGTTTCTCCTGCACAAGGTGACTGGCTATAGTTTGGCTGCAGGAGTAGGGTGGATTATTGTAGAGTACTGTATCGGTGGACAATAGTATTCTGTGAGTTCGAGTGGTAAGTTGTGATAACACCAAGAAGTGAGGGCGCCAGGCTTGCAAGAGATGCTATGGATGTAGGAGTAGTCTGTCCGGTCAAAGGCTCTCTGAGTTGCTCAAAGATAACCGTGCCAAGGTTCCCACCACTCCGAATGACGCTACGCGACCTTCAAAGTAGGTGGCACTCCCCTGGAGTGCCTCACAGTTCAACGATCCTTTCGTCTGTATTCAGGACCTCGCGCTAAATGCCACTTAGCATGTCTTGTCACCGAAAGTGGAATAGTGGTGCAATGGTCAGCACCTGCTGACATCAACAGGCACCACTTCAAGTTTATCAGTGATGTGAAGCAACTGTAGACATCTACAAACACCCATACGAACCACTGTGATACTGTGTCCAAACGCAAGAAATCAGTAAGTATTAATATTTCCTCACTATTTTAATGCAAGTAGGTCTAATTATTTCAGATAAAATGTCATTTATTAGTTTTGTTTCTGGACCTTCGGCAAACACATAACCTCCTACCCACCTAAGACCACCCGTAAATTCACAATATTATGTGAATAGAGTGGCAATACGCTCTCCAATTACGGGAGAATACCGGAATTGAGAAGCTATTCCGAATGAGCTTGATCCACCTCCAGGAATGCAGCCATTATGGTCTTCACTCCTAGACAAGTCTGAGGAGGAGATTGTCCTAGAAGAACCAGATGACAATGAAAATGAGGCTCCCGTGGGTAGTAGTCAGGAGAAAGATGAGGAAAATAGAGATGATCAGGATCAAGAGCCTATAGAGACACTGGTGATGTTGGAGGAATACCTTCCGGTTCCCTCACTCTTTAAGCCATATAGGCATCAAGCATCAGAGCATAGCCGAATCGTCAGGCTTTCCGAAAACCTCTCTGTCCAATATGGAATAGTTGGACCAAGCATACTGGTTGAGGACTTGGAGGAAGACCATGACTGTTTGAGTCAAGCAAGACTACAAGTAACTCCAGACTTTTTTTTTTTAATATTTTCTTCACTCAAGAGATATTTGCAGAATTAGCGGATAATACAAACAATTATACAGATATCAAGTGCGCAAATTTATCACTTACTGTCAGAGGTCGACAGTGGCAAAGGACCTCTGCAGGAAAGTTCATCATTTTTGTGGAATTACTTATTTATATGGGTGCCCATAAGGCCATGAGAACTCCTCTTTATTGGAATAAAAGTGCTAAATTTCAAACTCATGAGATTGTCTGCTATATGTCCCAATATCGCTTTGAACAGCTGAAGCGCTATTTTCATGTTTCGCCAGTAAATCCCAATATACCACGACCACCTTGATATGAGTGGGCTCAAAAGCTTCTTCCTCTTGCCTCCCAATTAGAGAGCCACTTTCAGCAGTACATTATACCAGCCTCAAATGTCTCAGTAGATGAAATGATGGTACGCTTCATGGGCCGCTCTTCTCATACTGTTATGATAAGAGCTAAACCTATACCTCAGGGGTATAAGATACTAGCTCTTTGTGAAAGAGGATATACATTTTCCTTTCTGTTTACCTCCTGTGTTGACAAGTTTTGCCATCTTAGCAACTTGTATAATGGACCAAGTAGGTAGTTTTTATCACCTACATCCTATGCAGTCTTCCAGTTAATATCATCACTTCCTTCTCAATCCTATCGCTTTATTATCTATTGCGACAACTACTTTTCCAATATTCTACTATTCATTGTATTAAGAAAGTACGGTATTGCAGTCTGTGACACAGTTCGCTCATCCTCCGCTTCCTATCTTCCCCTGTTTAAGATTGATAAAAGAGAACAGTTTTTAGCTTAGAATACCCTTACTACCAGTACTATGGATTCTATTTTAGCTGTCTTATAGCAGAATAAGACCCTGGTCCAGTTTCTTACTACCAATTATACAGGCACACCAGAACTAGAAAACTTTGCAACTTGACTTTGCTGATGACCTAGAATTACCAATGGAAATAGGCAGCTGGTGGAAGCAGGTTGGGGGGATGACTTTACTCGAGAGTTAAGGCTACCAAAGCTATCAGTTGACTATAATAACTATATGAGTAGGATGGACATTGCCGACCAAAGACGCAGCTATTATTACACACAACTTCAAACCTGTGACAATTGGTTTTCCCTCTTCTTTTGACTCCTGGATACTACTATCATTAATTTCTTCCTATTAGCTCAGGAGCCAGAATCTTGGACTTTGCTTGCAGCCTCTTATCCGTATAACTAGTACTGGAGACATCATGGATTTTTTCATACCCAATTAGCTTGGAACCTTGTAATAGAAGGCTTCCACTCTCTTCATCCCAGTCAGCAAATTACTGTTAACTTATCTGAGAGGCCTATAGACAATGTGTATCCCCAGACTAGTATTATTCTGAGAGGAAATAACAGTCAAAGCAGGTATCATGGGTATGTAGGTCTTCCGTGACATTATAAATCAACAGGTC